GAATAGACCCCAATCAATGCATAACTGTCTATTTACACTATCTAGTCTATTCATGTAATGTCTATATAACTTGATTCTAACAACCTCTTTAATGATATTTACAATAGTATCTATCGAATGCATCACTCCTCTAAAATATATGCGATTGTGCTCCTCCCAAATGAAGTAAACAAAACCAGTCCATGAAAGTTTAAGGATGTGCATTAATAGGGATTTGCCCTTCATATTCCTGACCAGCCAGTCAAGTATATGATCCCAACTAGGCCATTGAATTTGCAGCCCACATAGCTGCAATATGGCGCTCCAAACCCCCCTCGAAAAAAGACAGTCTATGAATAAATGATTCCTTGATTCCAGATCAGTACCACAAAGTCCACAGTTTGCATCGGTCACCATAGCAAACCTACAAAGTCTCTCCTTGGTAGGTAACCTATCAAGGATGGCCATCCATGCAATCAAAGAAAACTTAGGGATGTGAGCAGGGAACCAAACAACTTTATGCCAAGCAACTTTGTTTTTCCTGTCCCGAATGTTGTTCCAGATCCAGCTCCCCTAATTTGTGACCAGCTACCTGAAGCAGCAAATAAACCTCTGGCTTCCTCACGTAGATTGATCAACTTTCTGAGAATCCAGCTAAAGTGGGATTTGTTTTCAACATTCCAGTAATCATCAAGTTTAAAGCAGTACACATTAATCCAGGCAACCCATAATGATCCATCGCCAGCCAAAATATTTCTAACAAGCATGAAACAATATGTTTTGTTCTAGTTAATCAAACTTTTTAGCCCCAAGCCACCTTCAGATTTAATAGAACAAATCTGGAACCAACTGACCCTCGCACCTCGAGCAGGGGAGTCATTACCCTTCCAAAAGTACCTCATGCACATCCTCTCAATATCCTGAATCACACCCTTAGGCAAAACCAATTGCCTACTCCAGTAATTAAAGATACTAAAAAGGATTGCTTTAATAAGTTGCAGTCTCCCCCAAAGCTCAATTTCCTACTCGACCACATCCTCAATTTATCCTTAATTCTCTCCAGCAAAGCAGAGCAGTCCTTCCTAGAGAGCTTACGAGTTACAAGAGGAACTCCCAAATACCTGACAGGAAGATTACAAGATCTAAACCTTGTGGATGCTTGAATCTGCTCTAAATCATCTCCATTAATCCCACAGACAAAGAGTTCAGTTTTTAAGGCATTTAACTTGAGCCCAGACAGATGATAGAACTTTTCTAGGATGCTTTTTACTCCTAACACTGAATCCATAGACCCATGACAGAATAGCAGCAGATCATCAGCAAAACAGAGATGTGTAAGAGAGATTCTCTTACATTTTGGATGGAACCTGAAGATTCCATTCCTAGCAGCAACATCAAGCAATCTGGAGAGTACATTCATAACAAGTACAAATAGGTAAGGGGATAATGGGTCCCCCTGCCTAACACCTCTAGCACCTCTAAAATACCCCACAAGACTGTCATTCAGAGCAATTGAGTATCTAGGGGTAGTCCATCTTTATAGCGCATCTAGGAGAAAGATTTCTCCTAGAATAGCCCTTAACTATTTCCTGGGCTAAAAGTGTATTGTCAGTGATGCTTCTACCCTTGAAAAAAGCAAATTGGCTAGCAGAGATCATTTCAGGGAAGAAATGGGCTAGTCTAGTGACCAAAAACCTAGTAATAGTTTTATATACCACAGAACAGCAAGAGATGGGTCTAAATTCCCTAGACATACAAGCATTCAAGGACTTTGGCACTAAAACTAATGTAGTTACATTAAATGCAGGTAAAAGGTAGGAGGTCTGGAAAAAATACCTCACAACATTAAGGAAATCAGATTGAACAATCCCCCAAGCCACCTTGAAGAACCAAGAGGTGAACCCATCAGGTCATGGGCTCTTGTCTTTACCTTGTCTAAACAATGCCTCTTTAATTTCAGTATCTGAAACCACTCCCTCCAGAACCCTCTCTGCACCAACAGGCAAAGTATAGCTCAAGAGTTCCTTCAAACACTCAGGAGGACACTCTTGGACCATGGGGTCAGCAGCATCAATTAACTTGCTGAAAAAATCCAATAATTCAGCAGCCATACCATCAAATGTTTCATGGCATTGTCCATCTTCACTCTTAATGACTCTAATAGTGTTCTTCTTTTTTTGGAGTGCAACCTTTTGATGGAAAAGTTTTGTGCTCAAATCCCCCTCCTACAGCCAATGGATCTTTGTTTTCTGCCTGTAGAACTCAAGCTCAGCCACTTCAAGGTCAACTAGGTCAGCATGGACCTTATTCTCCTCGTCCACCCCAAATTGGCTAGCACCAGATAGGATAGAAAGTTGAACAAACTCCAGTTCTACCCTCTTAGCAGCTACCCTAGCAGATATATCAGAAAAATGATTCATGTTTAACTCCTTCAGAACAGGCTTCAATCTTTTCATTTTGTTAAACAGGACCTGAATTGCATTACCCTCACTGTGCATAAGCCAAGACTCCCTCACACTATTCAGGAAGTTTTCATTTGCAGTACAGCAATTAAAAAATTTAAAAGGCTTTGACATGTGGACTTGTGCCTCTTTCTGAGTCCAGATTAACCCAAGGCAGTGATCAAAAGCCACAGGGGCCTTGAACTCAACATAGGAATCTGGAAAATCCAGCAGCCACTGGGAGTTAGTGATGATCCTATCCAACTTCCTAGCCAAATAGGACCCACCCTGTTTGTTAGACTAGGTAAAGAGAGGCCCTGCAAAAGGATGATCCTGCAACTCCAGATCCTCCAGGCAGTCCTTGAATTCTTCCATATCAGCTGAAGAGTGTGAACCCAATAAAGCATAGTCAGAACTTTCTTGGGCATTAGCAATAACATTGAAGTCACCACCCAACACCCATGAATAATGGCCTATCTCACTCTCCAGGCTCCTAAGATAATCCCAGAGTCCCCTTCTAGACTGACTATTATTACTCTCGTAAACAGCAGTGATAACAACTCTGTGGCCAGAAATATCACCTCTAATGGAAAGAGCTTGATCACATCCATCAATCACAGAGAAATACAGCCTCTTATTCCACAAAATCCAGAGTCTACCACCTTCAATATATTGATAGTTTACCTCAAAGTTCCACTCATCAGTAAAAACACCAACCACCTTGGAAACATTACAGCTCCTAACTCTAGTCTCCATGAAACATATAATATCCACCCCTAAATTCTCCAGTCTTTTAAGAATTTTGCCTTGTTTGAGCACATTATTAATGTCTCTCACATTCCAGAAACAGATAATCATCTAAACAAGGATGGAGGGACCACCATTACCAACTCCAGAACCTGTCACACTACCCTTAGCCTTCTCAACCATATCTTTTTTCTTAGCTCTAATCTCATTTAGCAATACTGCAACACCCATAGCCGCAGCCCGAGGCTTCCTAGTGTCACAGCCTCCACTACCTACCAATTGATCCAATTTACCAGAAGAGCCCAAATTATCTTTTTTTCTCCCTTTAGCTTTCTTTTTCTGTAAAAAGGATTCCTGTAGAGAAGGATAGTCTCCACCAACATGAGAATTATCCTGGCCAGTTTTAGATATTTCCTTATCCCCTCCCAATGTGTCAACTGCTCCAACAGTAGCATGCTGAGCACCTAGATCCAAAACATCACCACTAGGTGCATCCTTCTTGACCCTCTGTTCATCCATGTCACCAGAAGCACACAATGTGACCGCTCCATCAGCCTTAACCAACTCCACTTGATTAATACCAGCGAAGGGAGCAACAGGATTACTCTCCTGAAGGGCCTCCACAGTCAGCTCTGCAGCAGGACCACCCTGCAGATCATTAGCCTTTGAGGATTTACTACCATCAAGATTGGGATCAATAGAACAAGAAGAATATCCAACATGAACTACTATTTCCTTAGCCATAACCCCAGAAGGATTAACTTTCCTCCTCCAGACTTGAGTTTCTTTGTTCTTAACTGGTGCCTCTGCACAGACATTGGATAGATGACCAAAGGTATTGCAATGCATACAAACCTTAGGCAACCAAGATACATAGACCCTAATCCTCACAACAGATCCATTACTCAGCAGAACCTGAACCATCTCAGGAACCTCAACACCAGCCCCTATCTCAACACAAACTTTAGCATACTCAAGCCTCTCTTTGGATGTCGTTATGGAATCCATATAGAGTGGATACCCAACAGCACTCGCAATGTAGCTGAGACCTAGTCTAGTATAAAGCTCGAGAGGGACATTATACAATTGAATCCAAATCGGGATGCTCTTAAGGTCAAAATCAAGCCTCTGTATATTAGGCTCCCACTTTCTAAAAACGAGAGGCTTGTTTTGCACATGCCATGGCCCGTTTTCGAGAATCCAATCTCTCATATCTTTGTTAGAGAATGAGAAAATAAAGAGGTTCGAACTAGCCAGACTAACCCTCACAGTCGAGTTTTTCCCCCACAAGATCTCAGCAATCCTCTGCATGGAGCCAAAATTCGGAGCAGCTCCAATGAATTGCCCCGCAATCAAGTGACCCCATTCAATAATCCCCTCGTCAAACACAGCAGCAGGAGACTTGACAGTAGAAATTCCCTCCAATTTCTCAAGGGGAAAGAAATCGATGGTTTGCTCTTCAATTTCCCTAAACAACTTCCTTCAATCCGGACTTGAAGCCATTGAAAACTCGGACGCTACCAGAATCCACCGCACAACACTAGAAACACCAAAGAGAGAATAGAAGTCAGCAATGAAGAACCAATCCTGAGGTCTCATTAGTCCAGCTAACGTGCGCCCGGAGAGAGTTCATCCCGTTATTAACATGGAAGTTTTGATATAATATTAAATACTATTATATATGAATTTTTTACGTGAAAATAGTTGTCTTAAAAACACAAATGGCCGCATATGCTTTTAGTCAAATAAGATCGGTACAAATATGAAAGTAAAAGAAAAGTAAAATTAATTCATAATTAAAACAAATACTCTTTAAAACTAAATCTTCGTTGGAAGAATTACAATTTATCAGCAATATTTCAAATAAATTCGTTTATTAAAAACTATAGGTCCACGAATTATTAATAATAAATTACAAATCATATGCTTGTACTTCTAGGTACAACGGGGCATGCCAGGTGGGGGAGGGAGCATGCTTGTTTTCGTGGTCTTTCCGTTCCTAACGATGAAAACGGTGTCCATTCCCCAGCTGCTATGCCTCTCGTAATGGCAATGCATAAACCATACGCTGAAAATACATATCATTCATCATTCATCTCGATTAATTTGAATAGATCATTGGTTATAAGAAATGTGGATTTTGTAAATGAAAACTTACCAGGATTGTTTGCAAAGAATCTAACGGCAGCCCATCCTTCATCAGGAACGTAGACGGTGTTAATGAGCGGTGGGTCAACCAAGTTGTAAGTCCTCGGGTCGGTCTGGTTGTTGAAATTTCCAGTACCGGTTCCCACCCAGTAAAAGCTAAAACCATGCAAATGGAGTGGGTGACCTCCACCGCCACCGACCTCTGTTGCTTGGAACACAATCTCGACTGCATCACCATAATTTAGCATAACAGCCCTCGTCCCTGAAGTAGCATTCCTACCCACGATATTAGTTATGTTGCTGCCGGTGAAATTATAGAACTCTGGTGGATTCAGGGGAAAATCTTCGGTGTAAACACCATTGATGCTCCTGTATTATTAACAATAATTTATAAGAATTAGCAACAGTTAATGAAACTACCAAAATTGCTATAACTATGTCTACATACATGTTATAGTATGCTTGGAGGATGTCAGTACGCGGAAAAACAAAGCTGACATTGTTCAAACTTGCAGCAAGTCTATTTGGTACAACACATTGTGGGCCTTCGCAACCAGGCAAGGTGTTTGCGGCGATTGCAATGTAGAGTCGTCTATTGATTCTGGAATTCACCGGCACGTTCAATCGTGGATTCTGGGGGACCCTCGTATTCCTAATTCGGCTGAGGAACCTGTTGCTAGCATCCGTATCGTTCAATGCTGGCAGTGTTACCATGGAAGCATTCAATCCACCCGGACTGTTTGTATATTCAAAAAGTCCAGTGGTAATGAAGTCAATAAGCACGGCCGAGGAATCAGAGAAAGGCCTAGTAGCCATGTAATATCGGCCAGCGTTTTGGTTGGCCACGACTAAAACATCCATAGTTTGTCCAGGGCTGATCATTATATAGTTGGTCATAAGCCTTCTAACGTAAGACGCATCTTGGGCGACGAGTGTGAGGGTGTGATTTGCGATGGAGAAGAATTTTGGTTCATTCATTGCAGAGTTGATGATGCGGAGAAGGTATGTACTCCCATAATTAACTTGCATACGAAATATTGTATCTACAACAGTGATGAATTTAGAAAAAAATTATCGAGTGGCTCAATATAAATAACTTGATCTATATTCAGTAATGCTAGAACGTACCATTGCAAGCGGTTGTGTCGCCTAAGTGTCCGTTGATGGCATAAGCATCTGGTTGGCGAGGAGTGGTACCCGCTGCAACTGCTTCATCAATCATTCGCTTGTAGTCGTCATTGTACCATGTTTCTGTCGATACATATTCAAAAAGAGCATTCAGATAAAGATTCATATAATAATTTTATAAACAACACCTAGCGAAAAGTTGAAAGATATGCTTACGAAGCATGATTGTTTGATCGGCATCAGGTGTGGGGAACGGATAAGTTTCTTTCTCGGCTGGTAAAATGACAAAGGCTCCCTGGACAGAACCGCGAGTCCAGTCACTGTGAGCATGCCACCACAGGGTTCCTATTTCATCCGACAATATGACTTCGTATGTGAAGTTGGTTCCTGGTCGAATCGGGCATTGAGTTACGTTTTCGGGACCATCAGACCATGGATTTCTTGGTTGTTTCACACCGTGCCTGCAGCAACATAATTAATTAATTTATTTCGATTCTTCAGGAAATAACCATTGGAAAATGAAAAAGGACAATTACCAGTGGATGGTGAAACCATAGTTCCCTTGATTATGAACGTTAACGAAGACAGTATCACCTCTGTGAACACGAATCTCAGGTCCTGGATAACTGTCGTTCACGACCAGCATTGGCGTTGTGTCGCATAGCTTCGTAAAGTTTGCCTCGCGCACCTGCAATAATTTAACTCCTTTTACGAATCCATAGTGATGAAGTATATTTAAGAGTAGGTAAAAGGAAAGGAAAGAGACACTCACGAAGAATTCATAGTGATGCACATCGGCACTGCAGAGGAGCAAAGTACTCAGAAATATAACCCCCAAAGAACTTAGCTTCAGTAAACTCATTTTGATCTCTCCACTGTGTTCTTAGTTCGTCCCTGACTTTTCTTGTCTCTGTTTAAGGGTCATGAAACCCAACCATTTATAGTGAAGAAAGCTTGGTGTCTTTCCTCGGAGGGGAAGAGGAAAAGAGAGAATTTTCCAAAGCGCATATTAGAAACATAATTTTCTTTTCATGTATACAGTTGGGATTTGATTCATTGCACGCACAATTGGACCATGGGAAAAGTCAGCTTTCAGCCTATATGTTGAAGATATTTACCTAATGCAGTGTTCGTTATCTTAATGCTTAAAAGTATAAATAAATATTTAAACTATGTTTTTTAGGTATTTAAATTATTTTTTTTATCAAATTAAATATTTAAATCGTTATATTTAATTATCTTAAGTTTTCATATTTTTTTAGTTAGAAAAATATTTTTTGACCAATTAAATATTGACATGTCATACAAAATTATGTATTTATTTTGACCAAAAAAAATTAGGGGTTTAAAGTAAAAAATATATATGGTTTAGGGACTTATTTTGACCAAAAAATAGTTAAGAAACTTAAGGTAATTACATATAATAATTTAAGTACCTAGTTTGAACAAAAAATAATTTAAATATATTACAAAAAAAACATAATTTAAATAATTTTTAGTTTAGGCCTTATCTTAATCATGCTCGTGGATAATAACGCATATATATATTCCTGTTCATGGTTGCCCTTGTTTTATGATAATAGTTTACTTTACTGGTTGTATGTGCAGTTTCCTTGTGATATATAAGTCGCCATTTAAAATTATAATAAATTATATTTAAGGGTATAATTATCGGAAGATTTTAATCTAATCAGTGATATTTTAATTAAGTTATTTGTTGCTACTATTAAATAGAGGAGTTGTTGTGGAGTGTTCAAAATTAATACCGATGGGGCGTGTCGGAATGATAATGGGTTTGCTATTTGTGATGGTGTCATTCGTGATGACGAAGGTGTTGGTTTTGGGGATTCTCAAAAATAATCGGGAAATTTTCACCACTTGAAACCGAGCTGTGGGGTAAGTTTTTTAAGGTTTATCTCCAGCTTGGAGACTGGGTTTGGATTTGGTGTCGGATAGTAAACATGTTATTGATGCGATTAACGATACATGGTGGTCCATTACCTCGACACTGGTTCATCATATCCGGCGGTTCAAGGGTAATAATTGGAGACTAGATTTCAGTCACGTGTCTCGCGAGAGGAATCAAGTAGCGGATTGCTTAGGGCGCTTAGCTTGGTCCAGCCATCCTGCAATCCAGTTTTACCAGACCCCACCTGTGAATGTTGCAGATTTGGTACAGGAGGAGAGCCCTGGGTGCTCGTTGCTGGAGAGTAGGCATTAGTCGGTAGAGCTCTTATTTTCTTCCATTAAAAAAATAAAATAAAAAACAAATTGATAAAATATGTAATTATGAGAATCAAATATGTATTGTATCAATTTTATTAATTATCAAGTCAATTGCTCTATCTAATATTAACAACAAATAATTTGATTGATCATTCAAATAATCCGATTAATAAAATTAAAATAATGATTATCTGATTATATTCCTCCTATAATTAAATTATTTTGGGTATATTCTACCTAAAAACATTAATGAAACGCTAACCTCATAAAATACATCATTTATTATTTACGTAAACATTTGATTAACTTCACTATTAATTCAGTCTATATACTTGTGGTTTTTCAAAACATCATGATAACATGCAAGAAAACATTAAACCAAGATTGAATTAAACGTTAATATTGGTTTCTACTTTCCAGAAGGAGAACCAGGCTGTGGAAAATACACGCGTGATTATTACAAAGTTTACCAACTAAAGGCTAAAGCATTTGAAAAACTAACGGAATTGCAGGGACCCAGATTTGGTAGCAATGAATTTTAGAACGAAGAATCATTCAAAGTTATAACTTTGAAAGGTACTGAGCAGTTATGCATACAACAGCTGGAACATTGAACTTTGGCCTTCTGGGATTGCCCAGCCTTACCATGGACGACCTTGTCGGTAACTTTGAAAGGGAGTAGTTAGGCATACAACAGTTGGAACATTGAACTTTGGCCTTCTTAATCAACACAAACTGTGTTTATTCAAAGAAAAAGGAGAAAATAACATTTTTCATATGCAACTTGTTAATGATGTGTTGCTTTCATACAGAGATGTCCAGACACGTAATCATCTGTCAATATTCTAGCATTAAAGACCATGGCTTTATCTCATCCACAGTATACGATTCAATTATTTTACAACTATTTGTTCTTATCCACAATATCGACTTCGAGTAGGGCACGGAAGATTTACAATCCACAACAATTTTATTATAGTTTTAATTAAAAATAATTCGTTAAATTATGACAGTTATAATAATATATTTTATCCTTATTACTTTTATACTTTTCTTCAATTTAGACTTTATACTTTTCATCAATTTAGACATAATTAGAATTATAACATATTTATTTTTTATTATTTACATACTTTATCAATTTGATTTTAAAATAAAAATAATTTAATAAATTTATTCTTATCGAAAATTAAAAGAAACAATGATGAAGTTGAAGAGGCTCGAATATAAGTCTTAGAGATAAAGTGACGTCTAATCACTAAATCAAATTTAATATTCGTATGAAGTAATTTTATTAGTGAAAATTAAAGGAAATAAGTATGGTATTGGGAGAATCAAACATGGATATTGAAATATAGCCACATTCAACTACTTAACTAAATTTAATATTTAATTCAATTTTGATAAAAATTTATATAAGATATTTTCAAAAATAAAAATGGTCTTAAGGAGATTTAAACCTAGATGCTATTCAGTTCAAAAAAAAACTAGGAGCTATTCTACATTTATCCACTAAATCAAATTAAATATTTGTTTTACTTTTGGAAAATACTATATTTAGATTATACTATGTTTGATGAAGAATTTTTACAATTTTAAATTTAATTCAATAGTTTTATTTACTATGTTTTTTACAATTACATATATAATCATTGAATTATATTTTTTAATTTAATTAATAAATTTAAAATTTTATATTTGTATATAAACATACCTCTACTTATGTAATGGGATTGTATTTTATTAACAAATATTATAGTAACTACAACTTAACCCATCTATTTATATATAATTGATCAATTATATATTAAATACTGATCTTGATTCAATGGTTAAATGTGTTTATAGTCCAAGACCCATATATAATTCTCCTCAATTTTATTTTTATTAATTTTTCACAAATAAAATGATCTTGATTCAATGGTTAAATGTGTTTATAGTCCAAGACCCATATATAATTCTCCTCAAATTTTCACAATAATATATATAACTCTCGAGATAATGTTCTTGAATAAATTATTTCACGAGATAATGCACTTCCAAGATTAATTGCTCAAATAAGGTGAAATGCAAAGTGTGACCGTATGTCGCCATGCCTTCCTGGCGACCTTGTACGAGAGTTACGAGAGTTTGCATGTGCCATGCACGAGCTAGGGGTAGGTCGTCATGCCTTCCGGGCGACCTTGTAGGTCGCCATGCCTTCCGGGCGACCTTGTAGGTCGCCATGCCTTCCGGGCGACCTTGTCTCCGCTTGCATGGCCATGCATAGGTCGCCATGTGAGATTCCTGCACGTCCCCTACTGCTCCCCGCTGCATGTAGTCCCCTCCTGCTCCCCGCTGCATGCCGCTGCATACCTGCAGCTATCATAGCTGCAATTGCAGCGTGAAATCAGCTGCTTCATGCATCAATTATTGATGCATGCATGTGAACCATTTCATCCCGTGAATTGCACAATTATTGGTGAAATAATTAAGGCAGTCGGTGACACTTAAATTATATATGGGAGGTGGTTAACGTGAGAACATAAAAGAAAGAAATAGAGAAGAGATTGCAGTCGAAGAAAGGGATAAGAGATTGCAGCCGAGAAGGAAAGAAATGGAGAAAGGAAAGGAATAAGAAGAAAGGGAGATAAGGCTATTGTGAGGTAAATTTTTATTAATTAAATTAGTTTATTATTATAAATTTTTAGTTTGTTAGTTTAGGGTTTAGGGTAAAACAAAAATCAATTAATTAGTTTGTTAGTTTAGGGTTATATGATTGTTAGTTTAAGTTTATATAAATAAAAAATTATTAATTAGTATGTAGTTATAGTTAAAAATAATTAATTAGTTTGTTTTGTTAGTCATTAGTTATATAAAACAATTATTTAATTAGTTTGTGTTAGTTAAATAGATAAGTTATATTTGTTTGTTGAATTTATATTATATAAAAAATTAGTTAGTAAGTTTATTAATAGTATATTATAATGAAAAAATAGTTTATTAGTTTTAGTTATATAAAAGAATATTTTATTAGTTGTTTAAGGGTTTAGCGTTTACGTTTAACTTATATTTTAAAAAGTTTAGTTTGTTAGTTTATTAGTTTATTATATTATAAGTTATTATATTAAATTTTTTTGTTGTGTTGTAAATTAGTTAGTTAGTTTATATTAGATTATATTAAATGATTTTTTTAAATATTGTTGTTTAATTTTTTTTACAGATTCATTCCAATGGCTGACCAAATTCCACTGCTGAGACTTGACAATGAACATATTTCAAGTCATTTGGGAATAATGGTGAATAAAATATTTGTTTAATGAATTATAATTAATAAATATTTGAATATTATTTTATGATTGTGATAATTTTTTTGAAATATTTAATTACAGGAGGACGAGCAACGAGTCCTTCGTCTTCGGCTACATAAAGTGCCCAAGCCACACCGATTGATAGAAGAAAACTTGCAAGAGGCTGGATTTTGGCATGTAACATTTGTGCGAGATTACAAGTTGGTCCCAAGTTTGATCAGTGCGTTGATTGAACGTTGGAGACCAGAAACGCACACGTTTCATTTGTCGTGTGATGAATGTACGATAACTTTGGAGGATGTGACAATGCAACTCGGGGTCCAAACAAATGGGATGTCGGTGGTAATGTCACATGAGTTTAATAATGTGGCACAACTTTGCAGCTTGTTTCTTGAGAAAACGCCCGTACCACCAGAGTGTAGAGGGTGACGTGTGAAGTTGTCATGGTTGAAGAATGAATTTCAGCTTCAACCAAATAGTATGGAACACGAAATTATATATGCAACACGAGCATATATATTGCAGTTGAATGGGGGAATTTTGATGCCGGATAAATCTG